GTCCTCTTCGAAAAGTCTCCGGGCATTCTACCTCTCAGTGAAACTAATCTTAATTCTTCAATCCCCTCCTCTGATTTATCGACTCCTGGTTATTTTCCTCCCATTAAGAAGGGCTGTAATGGCCTGGGGGGTTATGTACGTGGTCATCTCCCGTTGGGTAAAGAATTCTCTCTTGAATCTCCATCACGCTCTTACATGTGTCTCCGTCTCTCTCTACTTAACTCAGCTATGTCTTCTTTTTCTACCATTCCTCTTCCTCTCGTGACTGTTTCGTGCTAGATAGTATTTCTGATAATGTAGATCATTCTACCTATACACGTTTGCAAATTTATTTGTTTGGTGACTTTAATGCGCACCATTCCAGGTGGCTAAAACACTCTGTCAAATGACCCCACTGGCATCCAAACCCTTAACTTCTCAATCACTCAATTTCTCACGCAAGTGGTCGACTTGTCCCAAATATTTCCTCAGCAACCCTAACGGATACGCTACTCTTCTTTTAACTCTATCCCGGACTCATGTCGTACTATGCAGCTCTGTCATCTTGGCAGCTCTGATCATGCTGTAGTGTTCGTAAACATCTCTTTCCGCCTCCTTCCACCAACTAAGAACCTCCTGTTATCAACTAGCGGATCGGGACTCGTTCTATAGCATCCTTCGTGACTTTCCTTTGAATGATATTCGTAATCATCCTGTCCGTAGATGCGCTTCTGAGGTCTCCTAGGTGAAAACCGGCAACGCTGCTTTCATTCGCAGCTGAGTTGAATTGAGTTGGGCCCGTCGTTCTTCAAAAATAAATTGTTCTTGGTTAGAAGTTGAGTTCGGAATTGCGTGGGCGGGCCCAACTCAATTCAACTCAGCTGCGAACTGCGAACCTAACTCAACTTAACTTAACTCAACTGCGTTTCACTCGCTAAGACTCTGCTTATATGAACGCCGACCAAAACCGGGGTGGGCTTGTCGGGGTTTGAGGTTCCTTGATAATTCTAAATCCACAATCCACTTCTTTGTTTTCGGTCAGGAAAATTTATTATTTTCCATTTTTGGAAGTCTTTCGTCCTCCCAACTTCTTCTGTTCTCATATTGGTATCTCACCATACCCTCAGAGGGTGTCAACGGGTTTCCCCTCTCTCTCACAGTGGCATCTCATACCAGTCACTTCAGGGGGTATCAACAGGCCTCCCCTCCTACTTCACATGATTACCTTCACCTAACGCTCACGCCAGCATTCAGCCAATGGGCGCCCAGCATTCAGCCAGCATTCAGCCAATGGGCGACCAGCCACGGTTTAAAAAATCTTGCTCAAAGAAAAAAAAATTATCTGCCTTTTTTCCTTCTTTTTCTTTTTTTTCTCTTTCTTCTTCTCGACAACAAGTCCTTAGACACGTAGTGTGGTCCTTTAATCTCAATTCTTATCCTGAATGTCACCTGGAATTCGTCACTCGATACCTTCGCCAAACAAGTGGGTGGCCATCCGGCGAGATCCACATTCTGGCGTTAATTATTCGTTCTGATAAAATAATTTTCCTATCGTGGCCAGCTTCGACATAGAACAGATGTCTTTTCCAAACGACATCTTCGTGGATAGCTAATGGTCAATCTTTTCTTCCTGGTGGTCCAGCGGACATTTTTGTATTTCGGTCAGCGCATGACCTAATTTAATTTTTATCTCCCAGTTTCTGTTTCGTAGGCGACTTTACCAATCTGGAATTTATCATTATCGTTGTCATGGCAGACTGCTGTCGTTTATTCGGTGATCGTCATAAATCAAATTAAAGTGTGTGTTTTACTTTCTCGACAATGGAAATAGAATCTTACCACTTTTCCTTGTCAGAAAAATAACACGCTTAGTGTCCTGTTCGTGATCGCTTCTTATCACCTAAATTTTTTTTCTTTCTTTCTAGCAACCTAAATAGTGTCACATTGATATGCCGTAAAACAAAATAAACCAAACCAATCTAAACTAAAGAATATATATTCTATTCATACGAATCTATCCTAAAAATGTTGTCGGCATTAAATAACCCATTGAGATTGATATGCCGTAAAACAAAATAAACCAAACTAATCTAAACTAAAGAATATATATTCTATTCATACGAATCTATTCTAAAAATGTTGTCGGCATTAAATAACCTATTGAGATTGATATGCCGTAAAACAAAATAAACCAAACCAATCTAAACCAAAGAATACATATTCTATTCATACGAATCTATCCTAAAAATGTTGTCGCCATTAAATAACCTATTGAGATTGATATGCCGTAAAACAAAATAAACCAAACCAATCTAAACCAAAGAATACATATTCTATTCATAATGAATCTATCCTAAAAAATGTTGTCGGCATTAAATAACCCATTGAGGTTGATATGCCATAAAACAAAATAAACCAAACCAATGTTACGAATTTATCTTATTACACACACACACACACACACACACATATATATATATATATATATATATATATATATATATATATATATATATATATATATATATATATAGAATAACGAACAAGTGGGAAACAGATCTTAATCTAACATGTTTCTCTTTATTGAAGCCTTATTAAAGTCGAAGATCAAGATAGAAATGACAAAAATGATTAAAAAAAACAAAAAGACGTAGATTAATGATATATTGTGATTGGCTATTTTTTATTGCTTAGATACGTCTCACGTGTAATGAAGTAACAGATGACATGAATCTCACCAATAAGAACTAACTAGAAATTGGAAAGTATTTGAAAAACCTAGCACGGGTTAACCCAAGCCTTGTGAGTGCAATTGGGTAGATAGAACCCTTGATAACGAAGTCACAAGTCATCGTGGCCGAGGGCTTCAGTGTGCTGGCCTTGTTCAGATTCTTGATCACACCTCTCGTCCAGAAACTGTAACTAAGATCTGCTCAGCATAGATGGGGTCTGTGGGTGCTGAATAAACACAAATGCACCTGAGCAAGCTTCTGCAATAGGGATTGGCTAGCCCCTCCCCCCTCACACTCTTTCGGTCCTGTCACTGTCTTTGTGTCCTCAAGGACACATGGCACAGTGCATAATGGCGTTAGTTAGATCCAGTGACAGGACCCAAAGAGTGTGAGTTCAATACCTGATTAAGGTGATGGAGAACTTGGAGAGGGGAATTAACAGGAGATAACTGACATCCATTAGACATGGCACGTGGAACTAGAACAGTCTACCCCAGCGAGCGAAATAAAGGGTTCAGTTCGATATTCCAACCACCTGAAGAAGGCCGGAGCGTACAACGGCCGAAACTTTGTAATAAATATGGCGACAAAGATGATAACAATAGTCCTAATAATGCATAAATAGTGTAAAAGTCTGTGATTGCGTGCGTGTTTGTCTGTTTGTGTGGTGCGTCCGTTTTACTTTAATTAATTTAATTTGATTTAATTGAATAAGAATGAAAAAATACGAATTGTTTATTCAGTATTTTTATTTTAACTTTCTTCGATCCTCACTAGATGCCCCATACTTTCGGCCTTGTGCCACATCTAAGCTATGCTTGGAAAATAACTATTTTAACATTCTTCAAACAGACAACATTTATAATTAAAATATTTTTAAGTTAAAGACAGACGCAAAGAGATCCTGGTTTGCTGTTTTCGTCCAGTTGTTTGTAGAGTAATTGTTTATATTTAAACAAACAATATATTAATTATTTAAAAAAATATTTTTAGATTAATCTGATTTGAAAAAATATTTCAAATGAATAATTTTTTTAAAACAGATGTTTATACAGTAAGTATTATTTAAACTTTCTTCGAACAAACAATTTTTATAAAAAATATTTTTTTAAAGACAGACGCAAAGAGATCCCGGTTTGCTGTTTCGTCCAGTTGTTTGTAGAGTAATTGTTTATATTTCAGATTTCTTTAAACAAACAATATATTAATTATTTAAAAAATATTTTTAAGTTAACCTGATTTGAAAAATATTTCAATGAATATTTTTAAAAATATGAGTTGTTTATACAGTAAGTATTATTTAAACTTTCTTCGAACAGACATTTTTTATAATTAAAATATTTTAAAGACAGACGCAAAGAGATCCCGGTTTGCTGTTTCGTCCAGTTGTTTGTAGAGTAATTGTTTATATTTCAGATTTCTTTAAACAAACAATATATTAATTATTTAAAAAAATATTTTTAAGTTAATCTGATTTGAAAAAATATTTCAAGTGAATAATTTTTTTAAATATGAGTTGTTTATACAGTAAGTATTATTTAAACTTTCTTCGAACAAACAATTTTTATAATTAAAATATTTTAAAGACAGACGCAAAGAGATCCCGGTTTTGCTGCTTCGTCCAGTTGTTTGTAAACTAATTAATTATATTTCAGCTCTCTTTAAACAAACAATATTTTAGATATTTAAAAAAATATATATATTTTTGGCGTATTTAAAAATATTTTCAAGTGAATATGATTTTAAAATATTTTTTGCATATTAAAAATATTTTTTTAAGTTAATCTGATTTAAAGTTCAATTTTATACCGGAAGTTCTATTTCTATTGAATGCTGTAAATGATCAGTAAAACGTTAAACATGGATTTGTAAGGCAGACCAATAGTGACACGAATTGAAATATTTAACTCAGTCATAATAAAATTAAGTTTTCATTTCAATGGAATGTTAAAATCAACTTTAATGTTGAAAAGGTCATTGACACAACCGTTCACGGGTAGTCTAGTCGAAAATTCAAATCGATTTTGTTGTTCATACAAACCGCCGTTATTGCACCTTGACAGCGTCCTTGGAAAATGGCTACGACTATGCTGCTCTCTTTTGTCCATCTCATCACTATTCTTATTTCGTCTTGTACTTCCGTGTCTCTTTTTCAATTTTCCCTATACTGACATCTCTTCCGCTTCCTCCTCAATCTTTTCTATATAACTAATCTCTCCTCTCATACCTTTACTCTTACTTCTCTGGCCTCCCTCTCTCTATCCTATTGCTGTATGAATGTTTCCCGTTATGTTCTCCCTACACTTTCACCCAGTTGATCTTTCCTCTTCTTTTCTTTTCTTCTATTCTTTCCTTCTTTTTTATTTCCGTCTTTCTATCTCACCATCCTTCTTCTTATACTACTTCTTCTTTCTCGTCCTATTAATTAGTCTTTCCATAGCGTCAAACCATTTTCGACAAATCCTTATTCTCTCTTTCTCTCTTTTACTTTCTCTCCCACTCTCTAAATCACTCTCTCTCTCTCTTTCTTTCTCTTGCTTTCTCATACTTACCCTTTGCATATCCTTCCTTCTCGTCTATTTTTTTCACCCTCTCTTTGCTTCTCATATTTCTCTTCTATTCTCACCCTCTCTCTATCTCAATCTTCCCATATACCACTTCCTCTTGACATTTTCACCTTATTTAGCGATCCATCTTTCTACGCGTACCCCTCACTTTGTTTCAATAGACTTATTCTCTCATTTTCTTTTTTTTTCTTTTTTCTTTTCGTCTCTTTCTCCTGGCCCATTCTCCTCCCCTTCGTTCATTCTCTCTCTCTCTCTCTCCCTCTCTCTCTCTCTCTCTCCCCTGCCTTCTATTCTTATAATACTGCATCTTATTCTTCCCACTTTCCATTTTTGTCAATTCTCACTCTCTCACTCTTTCTTCCTTTCCTCTTCTTTCAACTCCTCTTTTCTTAATTAACCTTATTCTATTCTTTCTGTCTTTCTCTCTCTCTCTTCCTATTTTACTATCTCTCTCTATTTTACTATCTCCCTCCCCTCTTTTTACTTCTATTTTACTTTTTCTCTCTCTATTTAACTAAACCCCACTCTCTCATTTTGACTATCTTTCTCTATCTTACTATCTTCTCCCTCTCTATTTTATTTTCTCTCTCGCTATTTAACTATATCTCACTCTCTCTATTTGATTATTTCTCTTTATTTTACTATATCTCAATCTCCCCATTTTACTATCTGTATTTGACTCTCTCCCTCTCTATTTGTCTATCTCTCTCCCTTTCTATTTTACTATCTCTCTCTATTTGTCTATCTCTCTCCCTTTCTATTTTACTATCTCTCTCTATTTGTCTATCTCTCTCCCTCTCTATTTTACTATCTCTCTATTTGACTCTCTCTCCCTCTCTATTTGACTATCTATCTATTTACCTATCTCTCTTCCTTTCTAGTTTACTCTTTCACCATTTTACTATTTCCCCCCTCTCTGTTTGACTATCTCACTCTCTCGCACTCTCTGTTTGACTATATCTTTCTATTTTAGTATCTCTCTTCCCCTCTCTGTTTTATTCTCTCTCTCTCTCTCTCTCTCTCTCTCTTAACCTCTTCTTCTCTGTCATTTACTTATTTACTTTCTTTCTTTTGCTTTGCTGTTTTTTTATTGATCCTCATTCTCATTTACCTTTGACTGATTTTTTACGGTTTATCAACCTCTTGTGGGTTATTGAAAGACGAAACCTACATTTGGGGATTGTAAGAATATTTCATTTTCTTTTTGCTAGTGAATATTGTATTAACAATTTAACTGAGATAATAATGATTTTCAAATAAAACTATTTTAACACCTATAGGGCGGGGAATTGGAGAAGTGGTGGATTCATGCCTTTCTCAGGGGTATTAGCGCGTCAGTAAATATAACGAACCCGACTGGAATTCGAACTTTCGCATTTCCGACTTCACATTCCGAGCCCTTATCCAGTCACGCATCCAAGCTTACAGCACCTGGTATTCCCAAACGGTCACCGATCTAGGTATTGTCCAGGCTGGGTGTTGCTTAACTTCGGTAATCGTATCTGAACACTGGATGCCCAGATTCGGGTTGCACCATAATTGATTTATCAATGAGGTGAGTTCGCCTTGAGAAAATCTGCTTGGAGAGACGATTTCAACGCCAGAAAGTGCCTGAGGACCCAAACCTTTTTTCTATACTAATGTTTATCCAATACCAGGTCTAATAGCCACTCAAGGTAGAGCACTACTCTGTGGTGTTTTATGGGCGTAAGGAAAGGTTAGAAGTGAACTTCGAGGGATTATAAAGTAAAGATAACGGTTAACCCTAGAAGATGATGAAGCCAAGATGGAAGTGATTCGTAAAACATGCTACTGGGAGTTTGTTTCGCAAAGCTGCTGTTCTTGAGAACTTGTCTAAGGGAAACTTACTCCTTACTAATGGAATACAAAGCAAATGGAGATTATTCCTCAAAAGGCGAAACGTGTCATTTATATGTATATGTTTTTTTGGGGGGCGGGTATAAGCAATTCAATTTTCTACCATTTTTTATCATTTCACCCTAAGTAACCTGTTAAAATGAAAAAAAAATACTATTAAGACCGTCCTGGGTAAGACGATAAATTACATCCAAGGCATCTGATCAGGTTTTGAGGAGCGTGGCACTGCCACTTAATTGCCGGTGTTCCCGTGTCCACCCTGATCCTGTCAGGGTCCCATCTATGGGCAAATAGTTAGCCCCTCCCTACCAAAAAGAGGTCAACACACTATGAAAGTATAAAGTTAGGTTTTAATACGATTGGATTACAAAGGAAATGGAGATTATTCATCAAAAGATGAAGCGTGTCATTTATATATACAAGTTTTTTTAAGCAATTCATCTATAACCAATTCATTTATAAGCAACTATACTCTAATTTATTTGAAGTATTTCCACTGTTGACGTTTATATAGCAGAAGCAATTTATAAAAATAAAAGATAATGGAACTAACAGAGTGACTAAATATGTTATTTTATACGGTCTTCGAGAATTCTACCAATTCTGCCATTTATTTAAAATCATTAAATATAGAATATGACAAAAACTATTATTAAGGAGAAAAGACAAGAAAAGGACAAGAATTAAGAAGACAAAAGGTAACGATTGACATTGCATTTAAATTTTTGAAGATCAAATTTGACTGAGAAGTAAGAAGCCGGAAGAGAGTTCCACAAGCGAGAAGAATCTGTTAGCACAGAACTTACGGTTACATCTAGTCATTTCAAGTTTGCATTGACACGTCTTTCTTCTCTGTTTATTTGAAAAAGGGTGGGGATATTTCATCTTTGCATAGGTCGCATGGCGGGTCTCAGTTGCAAAGCACAGGAATTGTTGGACTAAAGAATGTAACTTGGAAGCATGGATGCTTTGGGAATATCGATAGAGCGGCGAGATACTCACAATGTTTCGTCTTTGTAGTGAGGAAAATAAGTCAATCACCCACATGGCCGTGTAGACGCTTTTCAACTCTATCAAGACAGACAAGTGAGAAATAGGCAATTCCAGCTTCTGCCCAGATATAGCAGCAATGCTCCATTTAATCGACTCCCCCCACTGCTATATTATCTCTTGTAAAGGGATAATATAGCAGGGTGGGGGAGGCAGTTCCGAAGATTTCTTTTATCAATTTTTTTGGAGTCTACTCTTGTATCGTATAGAACAGCAAAATCAATCACTTGACACTTACTACTTTCCTTATCTATCATATTGTTATTATTATTAGTAGTAACAGTAGTAGTACACTTCGATAGTTCACGCCAGGAATAAGTGCAGATTAAGTCAGAATTTCTAGCTGATTTCACTAACGAAAAGTAGTCCAGGACTCTCCGCAGTACTCTAGCTGATTTCAGTAGTGACAAGTAGTCCAGGACTCTCCGCAGTACTCTTAGAAGATTTTAATAGAGTCAAGTACTCCAGGAATCTCAGCAGTATTTTGACTGATTTTAATAGTGACAGGAACTCCAGGACTCTCCGCAGTAGTTGCGCTGATTTTATTATCAACAATTACTCCAGCAATCTCCGCAATACCCTAGCTGATTTCTTTATCTATTGCAATTTTATTATTAGTAGTAGTTGCAGAATATAACTTCAACAAAACTACAACATAAACACATATCACTGCCACTAGTAAATGTGTCCACAGAAACATGTATATGCACAAAAATCAGAGTATCATCTACCATGTATTCAATTGTGAAAGCAGAATAACACCTACTATATTTTAATTACTTCAAAACTCTATAGAAACTTAAATTTCGTCATTAAATGACCCCTAAGATGTTGATATGCCGTTAAGAAAACAACAACTTCCACTGCTGAAGCAACATAAAAAAGAAAAGAAAATGAAATCAACATTATGATTAAATATGTTATTTTACACGGTATTCAAGAATTTTACCAATTCTACCATTTTTTAAATCATTTCACCCCAAGCAAAGCAATCAAGCCACTCGGACGCAAGGGTGTTAGAGAATAAAAGAAAAACTATTATTAAGGAGAGAGGACAATAAAAGAACAAGAGTTAAGAAGACAGAAGACGACGATTGACATTGCATTTAATTTATTGAAGATCAAAGTTGACTGGAAAGCAAGAAGCCGGAAAAGAGTTCAACAAGCAAGAAGTCTCAAAGAAGAATCTGTTTGCATAGAGCTTGCGGTTACATCTAGCAATTTTAAGTTTACATTGAAATGTCTTTCTTCTATGTTTATTTGAAAGGAAGTAGAGATGATTCCCACTTGTGCATACGACATGGCGGTTCCAAGATGTAAAGGTCATGGATAGTAAGAACAAACAATGTAGTTCGTCCGAACATATACCATGAAAAAAAATGGATATAGCAATGGACCAGCGAGATGATCGCGATTTTTCGTTTGTGGAGTGGAAAATGTCAATCACCCACAAGGCTGCGTAATCGCTTTCGAAGCCTTGTGAGTGAAATTGGTTAGACTGAACAGTTTGGAAGCCGTCGATGGTTATACTAGCACAGATGCATAAGTCAGCATGGCCGAGGTTTTAAACGTGATGGAATTCTTCAACAGCTGATCACGCTGGATTATGCAGTCTCTCCCCAAAGTTCCGCTCCGCTTGGTCGCAGTATAAATCACAGGTTGACGCTGTGCTTGTTGACAAAACGCACATTTGCCTGAGAGAGTGCCTGCAACAGGAATTAGTCCTAGTATGATAGGGAAGCCAGTGTGCGCCAAAAATTACCATTATTCGAAATGTTGCCGTTTTGCCTGGGATTAAACACCGATCAGAAGTGATCAATACCTCAGCCAGGATACCAGTTCCTCAATGGATGCTTACTGTTCGCTTTACCTTTTTTTTTTTCGTTACATAATATAAACACTCTCTCTATCCCCACTCTCCTCTTACTGTTACCAATATTTGCTCTACCATTTTTTATCTCCCCCCATCTTGCATCTATTTTTGCATTTGTTTTTTCTCCTCTTCCCGCCACTACAGATTCCTCACGGATAACTACCCACGTCTAATCGCCTATCTCTCACCCTCTCCAATTAATGTTATCTTTTCTATACATTTTTCGTTATTAACCACCATCTCTATTCTTTCACCTTCTCTTCCTTTTGCAATTTCTTTTCTCCCTCTTCCCGCCACTACATAACCCTCATTTAGACCTTTCTTTCCTCCCACGTCTAATCGCTTATCTCTCACCCTCTCCAAATAATGTTCTTTTTTCTCTCCTCATCTCTGACTTACGTTTTTTTCTCGTTATTAACCACCATCTCTATTCTTTCACCTTCTCTTCTTTTTGCAATTTCTTTTCTCCCTCTTCCCACCACTGCATAACCCTCATTTAGACCTTTCTCTCCTCCCACGTCTAATCGCTTATCTCTCACCTTCTCCAAATGTGTTTCTTTCTCGTCTTCTCCCATTTTCACGTCTTCCACTCTCGT